GAGAGGGCGGCAAAAGGTAGAAACAAGGCATTTATGCACATTACATGAGAATGCAAACAGGACCTGCCTTTACTGGGTAAACCTCATTAGAGCCTGGGCTCTTGCTTTGCTGTTAGCTCACAGTGGGCAAGACATGGAGCTAACACCAAAGCTGCATCTCTGAAATCATCTAGTCATGTTTGCATTGAGAGTTATCTTAAAGTAATGCCCCCATACATCAAAACTAAACTCAGGAAAAGATGCTAAAAATCAAATCAGAAGAGCAAAAAGCAGGTAGATAACACTTTTGATCTAAAGACCCTGCTGTCACTTTTTTTGTTCCACCATTACCTACTTTTATGAGCTGGTAACCAGAGAACACAAAAATTACACAAGTTGCCCAAGGTGATACAGTAAACCAGCAGCACACCAGAGAATACAATATAGATCTTGCAAGTCCTAATCTGCCACCCCACCTGCCTGCCTCCCTCTCATATCTGTTCAATTCCCAGGAGACAAATATGGCTTTTGCAAAATGGAGTTCAACCAGAACACACTTCCTGATCACATACAGGAATATGTATTATAAAAGTACTCTTATTATTGCCTTTCCATGGAGTAGTACAGGGACATTGAAACTGGAATTCCCGAGGAATTAAAAAATAATACTGATAACGGTACAAACTATGCCCCCACACTTCAGTGCCCTGCTCAAGACAGCCCTGTCTACCCAAGAGACAGGAGACTGGAGTCACAGAGATATGGCTGAGATGCCAGTTGTTTCTTACAGGGAAAGGGTAATGGAGTGAGCAAAAAAATCAAAGAAAACGTAGTTGCGCATATGATTGTGGGCAAAGAGGGAGGAAGGGCCTGCCATAAAAAGAAAATAAATGAAACTCTCCTCTCCACTGCTCAGCAATGGGAGGGGAAGATGTATGGCAAAGTTAGTTGTAGTTGAGGTTAGGAGTCATGGGTGCTTGTAATTTAACCCTGGATCTGGCTCTGTCTTGGCTGAGGGCACTGGGCAAGGCAGTAAAATTCTCCACCTTCTTTTCTCGATCTGTAAAATGAGGTCTTGGACTGCAGGGTGGATTAAAGAGCAGCTGTACAAAGCTTTGAAATATACAACTGTAGATCAGGGCTAAATAGCTCTGTTTCTGCCATAAACACTCACTTTGGGCCAATATATGTTGACATGATGTTATAGAACCAATATTAGATGATACAAAGATGGGAATGTTGATTAAATGGATAGGTTAGCTTCAGGGGAAAGGCTTATGTGCTTCATGATGTAAACACATGATTTTTCAATGGGCACCAGAATTCAAGAGGCAAATATATTTCTTCTATTTTCTTCTAATTTTGTACATACACAGTTTTGTACTGGGCTGTCTGTGAACTGTACAGGTACTCAGGCAGAGCACAAAATTTAACCTAAGGCTAACAGTGAAGGATATGAATTAGCTGTATCCTTCAAAAGCTGTCAATATAGGTCTGATGCTTCATGTATGACATTCAGGGCAGAAGCACCTACACATACAAATCATGCATTTAAGAGCACTGAAAGACAAGATCTTAATCTCAAGAAAAAATGATGTCTCTCCAATGTGTCAGAACTTCAAAAGTAATTGTGAGATCTGCTGGTGATTCTCTTAAAGACTCTTTAGAGCTCCTTTTACAGGGGCCTTGGGCTGATTCATGTTGATCGTGTCTGACAGCTAGCATTTCTGTTAATAATAATCATAAATAAAGTGGACAAGGTTGCCTGACCTGAAATGAGCATATCTATAGTGCCATATCCATTACAGCACCGTGGATCTGTGGCCACAAATCAGGAAAGGTCCAGTGCTCTTGACATTTTGTATTAAAATAATATCTGTCTTTTAAGAGCTCAGAATCTTTGTATGCTATCTTTTTCATTAAAAATTTTTCCTTAGGAGAGAACATTCATGCTTATAAGAACGGAGATATTACAGAGGATGAAAGATTGCAAAACTTCACAATTTTTTATTATGCAATAAAAATACATTTGTGAACAGCTCTATTCTCCCTTATATCTCAACTCCTCCTTCATGTTCTCCTGCATTGAAGTAATAATCCTGGGTTTATGCCATCATAAATCGGCTGACATGTGAAAAATTATACTATTATCAAACACATCAAAACAGAATTATGATTTCACTGCTGCAGGACCAAATGCAAACTGGATCTGGGCTAAAAGAAAGTGAAACTTGATTAATTTCTAGGCAGTGGTTTGCTACTAGATAGGGATGGTAATAATTTTTTTTTTTTTTAGTTTCTATGAAACCCCTTGTTGTACTTATACACAAATACAGGTCATTCAAAACAATACAGGAATTACTTGCTGATATAGCAATCACATGCAAAAGTAAAGTTCCACAGATGATACACTCAAAATCTCTCCACATCAGATGACATGCTGAATTAAGAGAGAAGCTTTGTAAATTACTTTGAGGGAGGTTGATGTGCTAGGCTATGCCAAGTCCACTGGGGCAGGCAACTTCCAAGGACACAGGCTCTCCACTGAAAGCCCTCCACCCCCATTCAGGTCCAGATAACTGCAACATTGCTGACAAAGGAAAGAGGAACAAACCCACACCAGAAATTAGAATAAAGAGATGAAGCTCTTGGCCAACAACAAAAAAAGCTGTACTTGGTGAAAAAGACAGGTTAGATGTTACACAGCAGTAGAAAAGCAGCAAAGCTAGGACTCCTCATGGTTCCTTCTAAGGAAAGGTTCTTGCTTGCCCCTTCACTTGTTAACTTTGCATGTCTGTACTGCGTGACAAACCAGAGTCAATGTTCTGCCACGTAGGCTCAAGGCTGGAAAAGTCTCTTCTCACCTGGTGTGTCCTCCTGACTGCTACAAGAACAACCTGAAACCTGAGTCTCAAATAGTCCTCTCCTCCAAAACTCCCTTCTTTTGGCCACAAACACAATGTTCAGTCCTGCACAGGGGTTATCAAAAGCCAGAGTTGTGAGCCCAAATACAGCCCTGGTATAAAATACAACAAACACATCTGAAGCTCGTCTGTCATTAAAACACAGAGGTAATGCTTTTCCCACTCATATCTCCAGCCTTGCCAGCCTCCAATGTGATATCAAAGCAGAGAGAAGTGAAATGAAACTAGTTTTATGAGCATCAGAGTAAACAAATCCTGGTCTTCTACTGATTTACTTTTGGGAGGAACTCTTGAGTCTAAAGAATTCAGAGGCTCTGCCTAAAGCTTTTTTCAGAGTATTTTTATAAAATATCTCCCCTAGGGAAAGAGTGGGGGGGTGGGAGACATTGTTCTCTAGTGTCTAATCTGTTCCTTCATCTGCACAGCTGCCTGTTTTCACAGAACTTGATAAATTTTTGCATCTAAATGACCTGTGGAAAAAGTCTATGTTACATGGGCAGCTTCTCCACAAGGCACAATCCAGTTGTCAGCATGCACATACAAATTCCATCACTGTGGACAGCTTTGTTTTCCTTTTCCACAACACACAAATCATCCCTATTTTTCTTGCAAGTTTATATTTGAAAGGAGCTTTTAGAGGAAGAGCTCCTCAGAAAGAGGAAAATCAAATTATTACCACTTAAACTGAAGGGATAGGAAAGAGATTTTTTCACAGGATGCAAAATTAACTTCAGAAAGATTATTTAATCACTTCATCTGGGTTTGCAGTATGTAGAGTGATCACTTTCAGATGCATACTCTGTACAGGTACAATCAGCCATGCATTTATGGATATTGTTTTAATAGCAGTATCTATAGCATTCACATCTGTGTTGAATGTGTTCTTCCTGCCACCACAGTCAAGAGCATAAAGAAAGAGAGAGTTATGCATTACTCAGTTTGTTCACTGCAAATGAGGTGAGTATTGTAGCAAGTGGAATGGCTGGTGACTTAGGAAAACTACGAGAAAAAAAAATTTTGGACAGCCAGAGCTACTGTAGGATTAGTCACTGATACTCCACATACCTGTGTACAGCAGTTCCAATGTCAACGTGCATTTTTTTCAAAAGTAGGTTAGGCAGGACTTGCACTACAGGTTGGGAAAACAGCATCCAGGAAAAAGGCGAGGTGACCAGCTCATGAATGCTCCCCATCCCTGTTCTGCAACTTTATGAAACTCATTCTGGTGGGAATATGTACAGGTTGCAACTGCACAGACTCTTGGTATTACACAGGAGGCTCTTGCCATCTAATAAAAAAGTCCTGATGTAGTGTGAAAGCTACCGAGGATTATATCTAAACAAAGGTGAAGTCTTTCTGATTTGTACCATGATCACTGAAAAGTTTTCAGTTGCAAGTCCTTCAGTTCAGTAGTTCCAATATATTGTTCTTAATATAATCTGTTATTTTTTATCAATAAATTAGTGGGAAAAGGAGTCTCAAGTCAAAACTTAAAAAGCAAGAATTTCAGACACAAGATAACTCTTTCAAGGCACATGGGTACAATTCGTTCCATCTTCTATGCAGGAAGAAAGAATTCAGCAGTTTCAGATGTAGGGCATCTTGCACCTTTGGGTATCCAGAGCACACAAGGAAAAAAACTGGGCTCACAATAGATATAGCTATTTGGCAAGACTCTGGTCTTGGGCTGGTGAAATGTGCATAATAAGAAGGAAGTCTGTGTCCAAAGTGCTTAAGAGTAACAATTACATTTCATGGCCTAACAAAGGCATCTTTCGGGAATCAAATCACAAGTATATTTGTATAAATAAATACTTGAATGTGGCTGTCATTGGCATTACTAACCAATTTTTGTTCAGCTGAAGTAAACCTAAGTGAAACAGGTGACAGAGAGACTCCACTGCCAAGGCAATGAAACCACAAAGGATTTGTGCATGTTCCAAACTGAAGCAAGGCAGAGCCTAGGAAACTTACCCTGTCCTCTCTTCTCAGTTAAGAATGGTATTTAACTAGCTTACCTTTAGAGTTAGCCTACCCACCATATTACTAGTTACCTGCTTTGATCTGCATCCCTCTTTCACACCACCACAAGCTTACCTGCATTTGATCGTTTCTTTGGATTTTTGAGACTTCGGCACCTGCCGCTCGCAGAGCTACTGTTCTCGCTCATGGAGTCTTGAGCTGATGAGGCACTCCCTGTCGCCTCGCTGTCCCTCATCATGCTCTCATAGCCACTGCTCCCCCCGCTGTGGTAGAAGAGGGCTGTTTTCCCCATGGCAGGGGGCAGCTCCCCACTCAGGACACTGCTGTTGTCGCTCCCATGGCCGCTGCTGCAGCGGTGAGGTTTCCGAGGAGGGGTGATCTTGCTGTAAGGTGAAGGCAGCATGTGAACAGCTGGTTTCTCATCTCCGGGAAGGCCCCCACGCTCATCTGCCTCTGAGCTTCCCTGCAGCTGTAAGCCTCTGGCACTGGCACTCCCTTGGAGCAGCTCTGAAATCCGCCCATTGACAGCCCGAAGAGGCAATTTGGAAGCAAGGCTGGAGCCCCGGCTTCTGCTGAGGGACTGCATTGACCAGGACATGTTCTTCCCACTTGGGGGCAAACTGGAGCTCTGCCCTACGGACTGAGGCAGAGATTTGGTGGAGAAGCTGAGCGTTTTGGTGGCAGAGGCAGACAGGCTGCGGGCCTTGGGACTTGCCAGCAGGAGCTTGCTGACTGCAGAGATCTTTGATTGGCTGGCTTTTGGGGAGGCACCTGCTGACTGGGAGAGGCCCGAGTTGGTGGGTGAGGACATGGCACTGCGGCTGAGGCTCCTTCCAGCCCTGGGCATTGTGGTGTCTCTGCCAGGGCTCATCTTGGAGCTCACAGATGACAGGCTTTCTGCTCTTTCCAGTGACAAACACTCATAGTGGCTTCCTGTGGACCTCCCAAGGGAGTTGGTCCTGCTGGCAAGCTGCTCCAGTTTGGCACTGAAGAGCTTGCTGCTGCTGTTGTTGACACTGCTATCAATGCCAGGGACCTTTTGTTTGGCATTCAGCTCCTCAGGGAAGCTGGCCAGGAAGGACACAGTCTGGTTGGAGGGACTGCTCGTGGTGCTGCTAGCTGCACTGTGCTGGGGGCTGGCTCTGTTCTTCTGATCCAAGCTTGACTTTCTCACTGGTGGCAGAGGAGGGGTCCCTTTGGGACGAGTGAGGATGCAGTGTTTGGGAGATACCATTTTCTTGTCAAGACTAGCCTTAGAAAACAGGAGGAGGGCAGGAGAACTGACTCCACTGCTGTCAGTGGCCGTAGGATGGAGATAACTGTCAGACTCCTCCACCTTGCTTGCCTTCGGGAGGCCTCGAGGGAGGCTAAAATTCTTCAAGCCATCACTGGAATGAACAGGACTTTGGGTTGCAGAGCTAGATGCTGCCACCTCACACCCATCCACAATCCTTTTTAGACTGTCAGATCCTGGCGAAATAGAAGTATCCCCACTGCTGGTGCTAAACCTGTCCACTGAGGACTGCTTTGTGCTGTGCTCGGGCTTGGCTGTAACCACAGCCGTGTCAGGCCTTGGCCCATCACTGCTCTCAGAGCTGTCCTTTTTAACATCTTCTTCTCTCTTCAGCCAAGGGTCTTCAAATTTGATATCCTTCTTAGCACTAGATTCTTTCCTGTCATGGGGATGAGTAACCTTTGGGTCTACAGTTACTGCCGGTACAGCATCATCAGTGTCTTGTGCTTTGAAGGGATTAACAGCAATACATGGGTACACAGTAATGTTTGTCTTCATTGGGATGTAGCCTTCACAGCTGCTAAGGCTTGTGGTGTTTTTGATTGTGACAGTAGTTTTTCCTAGAGCTGATATTTTACAGCCTTTGATGGGTGGCACTTTGCCGAAAGCTTCCTCCCCCATTTCCGACAGTATAAGCATGTTGTCAGCCACTGACTTCTGTTTATCACTTACACAAATCATGCTGGCACTTTGTATGGTGCTTGCAAACTCAGAGACAGGGGGTTCTGCCATAGCTTCCCCATGCCCATAGCATGCCTGGGCTATGAAGCTATGGCACGACTGTTCACCATCACTCCCTGCGCTCATTTCACTCAACCATGAGCTGATGGATGAGCGCCTGCTGCCATCATCTTGGGATTTGTCATCTAGACTCAACTTTGGAAGTGGAAGGAACTGTGTGATGCTGACTTCAGACACAGGAGCTGCACTGGAGTAACATTCAAGATCTTCAGATATGCTGCTGATAATACTGACTGGTCTAGACCCAGAGGCCAAAGCCTGCACTGAGCAGTCACTGTTAAAACTGATGATACTGGTTGGGCGCCCATTGTCAAGGACCCCACTAATGGTTAGCTCTTCTACAAGAGTGAACACCAGCTCGTCCTCTCCATTCAGCTCCAAAGGTTGCTGAACGGTCACCATGGTGGTGCTCAGAATCTCCTTCTTGGATTCTGGAGAAATGCTTTGCTGCTGGTCTTCATTGAGAACAGTCTCTTCAAAATCTCCATTGCTGGAGGACACCGACTTCTTCATAATCTGAGGGCTCATGCCTACAGGTGGGGTCCGAATTTCTGGTTGTAATAAAGATTCACTAGATGTCATCCCAGCATCCTTACTCAGGGGAGCTGGTGGGGGAGTAGAGCTGGGCAGGACTCCTTTCTGTGTATAGACCTTGCACCTCTGGGAAGGAGAAGTTGGTGGCTTATACTCAGATGTCTTTGAGAGGCTTGCAATGCCAAGCCGAGGTGAACCCATCGGCCGAGGCTTGCCTTCCACAAATCCACAAGTGTTGAGCCCTTCTCTGCTGCTCTGCAAGCTGGTGCTGTGTGCTAACTGACAAGAGCTAAGCTCTTTACTAGAGCTGCCTGTTACACTCCTGGGAGAAGAAGGAGTTGAAAGATTAGTAAGAGCTCCAGAAGGAACAGGGGAGTGATTTCTCTTAGTTTTGCTGGGTGTTGCATTTATATTTTCCTTGGCTTCTCTATCAGGATGCTGACATTCTGGCATCGTATCTTCCTTATCTGACTCTGGTAAGTGGCTAAGTTCTGCCAGCTGGCTTGAGACAGAGCACTTAGACATCTGGTCTGAGCTAAATTGAGCAGGCATCTCTTCAAAGGGAAATTTGTCAGTCTCTTCACTGCCATCTATGCAATCCAGCCTCTCCTGGAGCTCTGCAAAGGTGTTGCACTTCAGGCAGTCTCTTTCAGATGTGCTGGGCCCTGATTCACTAATTTCCTCCAACCTGCCTTCATTTTTGGTTTTTTGCAGAGCAGGAACTATGGGAACAAAGTCAGGGGGACCCTCGTTATCTGTCAGTTCCTTATCAGAAAGAGCAGTGCCATTGGGACCAACATAAATCACCGTATCACATGACTGCTCACTGCTGGATGAATAATCAGGATCACTTGATAAATGCAAAATAGGAAAGTCTGGGTCAACAGTGTTTCTAGAATGGAAAGGTCTCAGCTGGGTTGGCCTCCGCATCCTGCCCTCCTCACAAGAGCTTTCTCCTCCAGAAGAACTTGATGTGTACTGCAATATGAAAGAGAGTCTGTGATATTTCAGCATTGTAAGCTGCTCCTTGCACAAACTGCATACACAAGAAGGTCACAATCACATCTAAACTGGGATCTCTAAACTAAGGCACAGAGCTTTGAAGCTGCTTATCCACAGTCCTACAGCAAACACGCAGCTATTGTTCAATGGAGAACCCAATACTTCAACTCTGAGTCCCACTCAAAATCATGAGACTTCCAAAAAAAAGTGCTAAAAAAATTAATTAGGACCCCTCCCTTACTTGAACCTGTCCAAAGAAATCAGATATTTGGCAAAGCCTTTGCTGATTTTGTGTGTATGTGTGTGTGTGTGTGTGTGAAGAGGATCAAGAAAACTCATTACATATGACCCTCTTTGGTCCTACTTATAGTGTGTGGAATTGGATAACATGCACTCAGAGGTCTCTGGAGACACAGCGCTGTGACGGTGTGTGGACCAAATCCCTTCACTTGCCTCTCTTTGGTCAATTGACAAAAAATCTTTTGTCAATCTCTAGGCAGTCAATTTAAGTGAAACGCATAACATTCACTTGTTCTGCTCAATTCACACCATAAGTTGCATAGAAGGGACCTTGACTCTAAAACATGAAAATGGGTACAGCCCATTCTCACTCTGTTTCTTGGAAAATCTACCACCCTTATTTAGAAGCAGTAGGAATAAAAAAGGCACCAATGATGGCAATGGACACACTGTTTTGCATTTCTTTTGCTACTGCTCTCTCTGAGAAGCCTAGAGAATCTAATTCTTAATTAATCTCAATTTCCTTTAACTCTACAGCAGTTTCATTCCTTATTATTTCATTAGCACTAAGAGCATAATGGAAAATAAATGCTCTCTGACAGTTATATCATTAAATGAGGGCAGCTTACAAACCCGCTACAGCAGATATGTCTGAACTCACTCCTCCGTCTTTGAAGCTGACACATTTACCTGCCCTAGTGTGTGCTCTGTGACACTTGCCTAGGACAGGGTATATACAACCCATACACTTTGGAATTGATAACTGATTTTTTTACATTTTGCTCTACCCTATTAAGGAACCTTCAGGATCCTTTTTCCTCCCTCCTCCACCATCACAAGGGAGTTATACATTGTCTTACCTTAGTTTTCTTTTTCTTCATCCTTAGGACCCGTGATGCAATCTGGATGGTGGACAGTGTCTCAGCATAGTTCCCTGCAGTAGCTGAAATGTGAGCTATCATTGTGGTGCGGCAGTTCATATTCCCCAAGGACTCTCGAAGCAACATGGTGAGCTTGCTGTCTCTGTAAAATAAAATGAATTAAGGCTACATTATCGAGCAAGGTTTCATTTCGGCCACCATGATGCAACTTGGGTCTTGGCAAGATATTTTCTCGTCTTTTTAATGGAATCCTAATTAGTTGCCTTCCTCAGGTTTAGGCTATGCTGCTTTTGCAGCTGAGCATGCTGAAAGACGCTGGACTACAATTCAAACTTCTTGTCCCAGTTCCTGCCTTCTGTCTTTTTCTGGTCTCAGTCCTACCTGCACTGTTACCACTGCCAAAACAAAGATGCAGACCAGCACTGGAGACTGTTAAGAAGCTAAATCAGCGCACATCAAACTGCTGCCCTTTGGAAGTGCAGAGTGTGCAGGCAAACCCTGGCCCAGCTCTGGAGGACAAAGAGGGTAGTGGATTAGATTAGAGAACACAAATTTTTTCTTGCCTTCCAGGGTACTGGATAACTCAAGGTTAATAGTAGTTAGATCACTGAAGTCAATTTTGGATGCTGCTGGTGAAACACAAAACAATCAAGTCTTCAGACTTCACACAATTGTTCTTTCATATTAGATCTTTTCTTCCACTGAGGCGGAAATCAAATTTTCTCTTCTTGCCACTTATTCTATTGTTCAGCATCGGATAGCTTTTGAAATGCTGATGCCTTATTGTGGGGCTGTCTGTGACTGGACTAAGAATATGAATTTTAACAGCATGATGATGCATATAAAATAATTCTGTGATGGTCATCTAATCCTGTAGTCAGAAATGCAAAATATACAATTTTTAAAGAGACATTTATCTACATGATGTACAGGTCAACTGGATGGTTACTTGGGAAATGGTATCCTCTTGAAGACAGCCTCTCCTATGCTAAAAGTTGTGGGTGATAGTTACGTACAGTTGAAAACAAAGACAGCGACAGTTTGATATTTATCTATTGGTAAAGAAATTGCTTTCACTGTTGCAATGATAGCAACACCTTCAGTGGCTGCGGATTAGATTTTTGGGGCTCACTGTTCAATATCTGCTAATCACCTGTGGTACATGTGTGCCCTTGATCATTCACTTGACATTTCCAACTCACAGGAACTCTTCATAAAGCTGCAACTGCTGGGAACTGAACCTATGCCTACCCAATTGGGACTGATGGACAAATACCAAAACTCTAGGACCTCTCTTTTTGATTAATAAACAGCAGCATTTGGGTTGCATATTTTGATGCATCTAGCAATAACTCTGGAGAGCTCATAAATTGTGCATCTCCTGAGATTTCTATTACTTACAATTTCAGCTTGGCTAGCAATACTGGAAGTAAAACATTTTTTCGTTTTGGGATTTCTGCTTCCATCTGCTCCAGACACAGTGAAGGCATCAGGTGTCTTTGAGAAGCAAACAAATATCCATACAGACTACACTGAGACAGCCTCACTCATTTCACTTGTGACCTAAGGTTGCTTTAAATCCACAGATCCAGAGTTAATAAGCTGCTGTATCTCAGGTTAGTGTCCCTCCTTTCCATCATGGAATAATTAAGATGTCAAATTTTGTACATCAGTTGCTGCCACTCCAATGCAGAGTAACGCGGAAATTATTAACATCTGCACAGAAATCAATAACAAGCCTTTCATTTGCCAATGCTTCTATCATAGCAAAACATGAGATGACAGAGGAAAGGGCAAAAGAATACATTCTAAACATGTTGGTCTCCTGAGAACATATAGCCCATGCAGCCAGCATCAGCAAACTGAGGTGTGGCTCTCCTAGAGGTATATGCATTAGGAATATAAAATAATCTGTGCCATCTGCCTGTACTGAAACACACACTTGCAAGAAGAATGAAAATGTAGAGGAAATACCTATTATATACTTCAAATGATCCTCTGACATATATCAGTTGGGAACTAAAGGGCAGATTTGTCAATGATTAAAGCATAAGACCTAGCAGTAAAAAGCCCAGCCAACACTGATTTCTAATTTCAGAGTTTGTTCATTCAGCAGCCGGTATCTTGACTATCAGCTTCACTCTGCACCCAGAAAAAATAATTAGCCTCGTGTCACTACTGTACACTTAAAAATAAAATAAAATAAAGGGGAAGAAAGTTATGAAACACAGATTTTTGTCAATTCTGGATATTGTCATAAGACAAGTTCAGCTGTTCAAGGTTCACTGGTCTCTCACAATACCACCTACTAACTTTGGAAGGAATGAAAGAAAATAAAAGAGAATATAAAACACAAAAATGTGTGGCTTAATTTTGAACTCACTCTATCGTCTTCAATTAAAATATTGGTAAAATATTTTGGATGACTCACTGAAATTTGCTTAACAGACAGTGTGAGACACAAAGTAGATGCTTTGTTCTTCTGAGTGCTGACATAGCATTTCTGCCTGAAAAAAATGGAAGGCTGTGAATTGTTTCATTAGGTGATTCATGAGCTGGTATTTGCAAATGCAAAATTTCCTGTGAAAGCAGAAGTTTTACAAAGAGAAGGTCTGCACTTCTGCACTGGAAGGTCTTTGAGAAGCAAGACCTTTGTTGATCCTCTGGCTCTGCAAACTAAGTGACACAGAAATTTTGAAGAAGCTCACAGAACGTCTGCTGCTCCTGTGTGCATGTTGCTCATTGTATTAAGCAGAGGCTGGCTAGCAGAACATCCCAGATTTCCCACAGCAGCATAGTGAAATGCACCAATGTTTTTATAGCAGATGAAACTTCAGGAATGCCAATGGTCTATTTCTATTCTGCTCCAAAAGCAATAAAAATTATATGCCAGAGCAGCATGATGACACCATTTAATATACCTGTCTTCATTTTAAATAAATTTCTATCCCATCAACTAATGTTTTTATAGTTTAGGAAATTCGCCATAACCTATAATGAATATGAGGATGTAATACACAGAGAAAAATGAAGATGTGGTCAGGATACCACACTTCAGACTTCAATGCCTGTATACTGGTAAGTCAATTCTGCAGTTTTTTCAGTATTTAAAAGTCACCTTATTTTTTTCTTATTACATCACTTGGTCTAATAAAATACATTACTCTTACACCTTTTCTTGCCTAGCTACTTAGATAATCATGGCTACAGGAAAATACTACTAAATATTATTCATACATGCCACATAGGTAAAACTCCAAAAGAAAGTATGCAAAGTTTTAACTCTGGAAAAGTCCAGAAGAAGGACCTCTGTGGGCAGGAAACTAAACTTAGATGTCTCTATGAAGTATGTCTGCAGGTGTGGCACAGAAGATTGCCAGGCAGAAATCTTCAGTTAATTCCATGGAGTAACAGTCCTCCATTTGAGGGCTTCTTGCTTCTCCATTCTGCTCCTTTTTCTCCTCTGTTATTTCTACCCTCTCATATTATAAAAGCTGCTGAAGGACTTACAGTGCTGTTAAGTCAAAATCCTTAATTTCATGACTAGATACTATTTTTACACTAGACCCCTACCTCAATCCCTGCACAGGAAAAACAGTGCTCACTGAATTATTTAGTCCTTCATTTAATCCTTGCCTTGCAATGGACAGACTTGTCCATTATCTACTGTTATGACTATACATACTCATCTCAGAACCCAGAACAACTGATTTCTTCAAAGGCTCTTTATTATTTTTTCTTTTCCCTGTGGAGTTCATCAATGCAGTATCTGATTAATGCCTCTGAGGCGAGGTACATAATCCTCTGATCATACCTGAAGCATTAAGTACAAGTGTTTGGTGTAAAGCACCAATCTTTCAGAATACTGATCATTGCATAGTCTTTCACGTTCAGCTAACTTTGACTTCTCTTGAACATAAAATGGGTCAGATGGTTCCCAGTCTGGGTACTCAAAAAAACCAGGAACATACAATTAGTAGCCCATCTAAAAATTTTAGGAACACATTGGCAGAGCTAGTTCTGAACGTAGTACCGGTTCCCTTCAGAAGACCTTCCTTCACTTCCATAGTCCTCAATCCCAGTTTCTATATGCCTTCCAGTTTCTGTTACAAATCAGGGAAGGTTTTATTCACAGTGACCACATTGCTGTACAGTCTCAATTCATGTGTAAAGCAAGTCGTTTATCTGCCTTGAAAAAGATGATACTTGGGGGGAATCCTGAACAGACAACACAATGTATAGCCCATTAATTTTGACATTTCCTGCCCCTGTAGCAATTGATTTCAAAATCCAAATGCTCGTATTATTTGTATTTTATGTAATTTCATGTGAATTTGTGGTTACACTTCAATGAGACTCCAGCAAGCCTGGAACATTCCTATATGTTAAATAGCCTCAGTTGCTGAACTAGCTGGTGGCAGCAGCAGCCGCCGGCTGCCACCTTTTGTTTGGACAAGCAGTAAAGAAGGAGAACATGACTCACAATTTACCATGGGGTTTTGCTAGTATTTGCTGCCTATAGAAAAGCAGTGAGACTCAGGAGTATCACAATCCTTTGTGGTGCTGTAGGAAAGCTGTGCTCTAACGTGTTCATGTCCTTTTTGACATGCTCTTCTCTCGTCAAACAATCCCATTCTCTTCTATCAGTGTCTATACGGGGGTTTCTTCATCTAATCTTCTTGCTTGTTCTTACTCCCACATCATGACACTCACCCCTAATTCCTCCCCTAAACAGCCTGGCAGAGCTCAGTTTCATCCTGCAGTGGTCTAACCAGCTGCACCAGACTTTGCCACTCTCCAGCATCACTGCTAGACACTCTTCCAGGATCAATCTCCTCTTTCTTCCCCTCTTCCTCCCACTAACATCCTTCACCGTCGTCACCTGACCTCCAAGGCCCCTCTACCCTCTGAAGTCCCCCTAATTGCTCACTGATACACAGCAGAGGAATCCCATAACTCTGCCATAATTTGACATGGCTGCATGAATCACAGTGCCCAGTTGAGGTGTAGGCCAGGGTGAGGGGGTGTAACATGGGCAGTGCTTTCCTGGATTTTCCTCTGCCAGGTCCTCCAGCTTGACAAGAATCCGTGCAAGCAATGTGTTCAAAGTAAGCTACACAGAAAAGAGGCAAATGGTAATTG